CATATATATTAAATGTATTTTTATGAACTCCAGTGAGAGAGTAAAATAAGATTATTTCTGATTTTTTTTATAGACATCACCCTCTGTTCCTTATGTATTCTTTAACGTCCTAAGGTTCAGGAATTTCTTTCTTTCTTCAAATTTGAGGAATAATCTCTTCACTTAAAACTAATGAACACATGACATAATTTATTTTATATAATTCTGAAATCCGAAATTACATAACATTTCCAACAAAACTACATGTTTTCTAAATACAACCACACTATAAATTGACTGCTTAACCATAATTTCTATAACAACATGAAATAAACATAAAGAGATCTTAGATGGCATTTAACAGCGGTTGGAAGTCTGTTGATGGAACGTATTATCAAAAGTAGAACCTGTTGAAATAGAGGGCCATCCCAAGGTATAAGCACTTCACTTCTCATGTTCTCAACTTCTTCATAGTTTTGATGAAGATTATTGTTTTCTGATGCTCGAATTCTCTGCAGCTCCATTGAAACTTCTTTCTGGTAGGCCTTTACTCCCTTTTAGGTTCACGCACCATATGTGAGGTTAGAAACTGCCATGATCTCTTCATCTTTTCCTTCACTTTTTCACTTAGAACTAAGAATATCCAACAAATGATTCTCCTTCATTAACTCATAAACTTTTGCACCAAACTTCCACCTTTTGATGATATTGGTTTCTGTTCAGTTAAAAGCTCAATAAGTACTACCCCAAAACTATAGACTCACTTTTATTAGTGAATTGCCTTGACTGAAAAATCTGGGTCCATGTACCCGATTGTCCCTTTAACTACTTTTTGGTTGCATGAGTTTGGTCAATCTCATGCATTTTGAAATCCAAAATCAGCGACTTTTGCTCGGTACTTATTATCCAAGAGTATATTTGCAGACTTGATGTCTCGATGGTAGATAGCCATGGAAGCTGCTGAGTGCAAGTAAGTAAGAGCATCTGCAACTTCTGTGGCAATTCTTAAGCGCATGTCGCATGTGGCGACAGAAGCTCTTCTTTCGGATCATGAGAATATCGAAAAGGGTTCCGTTTGGGATGAATTCGTAAACTAATAAAGGAACCTCTGTCTCCAACAGTACCCTAATAGCTCAACGATATTCCTGTGCTTTATTTCTGAGGATGATAACCTCGTTAACAAATTCTTGAAGCTTTCTGTTATAACTACTCAAAGAAAGAATCAACCAACAAAAGCAACAAATCAGATCAAGATCAAAATCAAACACAAGACCAACAATTTACCGTGGTTCACTTGCTCTATATTGAGCAAGCTACGTCCACGTTGAACTCGAGAATCACACGAGCTCGCTGCACTAAACTGTCAAGTTTACAGATTACACATAAGCAACACAAGTCACTCAAAACCCTTCTTCAACCCGTAACCAAACCCTAGAGATTACCACCCTTCGAATCCCTAAGAACAGTGTATACTATACACCAGAAATGACCTAACCAGTCACTCACACTCAAGTTCAGGAACACTCAACCCAAACTGTAGAAACCCTAAAGGCTTAACAATGTGTTTTACCGAAGAAGAGAGAGTATTCGAAAACGAAAGACTAATCGCTCTCATAAACTGCCAAAATAATTCTGCTTTTATATGGGAACATTAGGGTTAATTTCACCCGTTGGATCTCCCTTTTTCATCAACGCTCAGGATTGATTCTGTCAGTTGGAGCAAAGCGACGTCGTTCCCCTTAAGTGTCAATACGGTAGCGTTTCAAGCAATCATCCACACTTTCCATTATCATCAACTACTTTAGATTTCTTTACAGCAACACGATTCTTCCATTTGCCAACATTCCTTTGTAAGGTACCTTGACCTCCCTCACTCTTGCAGCATAATGAAGCGAAGAAATCATGCAGCATGCTAGAGCTGAAGCATCACAAATGAAACTGTAAAATGAAACTGTAAATTAGTTTGTTATCAAGTTAGTTAAACAGTTAGTTAACAGTTAGTTAGCAGTTTGTTAATTGTAATTATTTAATCTGTTCAGTCTGTTAAAGTATTTAGAAGTTAGTTTAAGTAGTTAGAAGTTAGTTTGGTCCAGCTCAGCTAAATAAGAGTTGGTTATCAAACACATTGTATATAAGGAACTAACTACTGTAACTAAAATTCAATTCTGTAAATTCTGTGATTCTTAATGAAGAAGTATTTTCTCAGAATCATTTCAGAATTAGTTTTGTCACTCACCGATCTTTCGATCCACATTAAAATGGTCAGTAGCCTTGTCTAAATCCTTTGAGTTGAATAGTTTGCTTCTATCAACACTTCCACTGATGAGTTAATTGTCTTTCTAAAAGTAGACCACCATTCTGTTTGAAGTACTTCTCTTTAAGCTTCTTCTCCTTTCTTCTTTATTATGAGACAAACACCATGCCCCAACAAGTAGAAATAAACTTCCAAACCTGGTGCCTAAACCTGCATATTTTTTAATTAAAATGATAAGAAGTGATGATTTGGTGAAGACTTTGAAGCGTCAGATTTCATATTCAAAAGCATTAAAATAAATACCTATTATAACTAAATTAATCTTCGATAATTTGGTTGGTCGGTGTGGAGAGCAATAGTGGTTCCCAACTACGTTTATGCATACGTCTGAGCCGCACACATTTGATTTGCATTCATCAATATCTGCCGTACATTCATAAAAAACACTGAATAATAACGAAAAAAAAGAGATATGGATACCAATTAAGTAGAATATTTTATTGGCATGTTAGTTTGCCAGTATAAGCTCTAATAATTTTTAGATCTTGTTTGGAACCTCCTAGCACTATAGAGAATCCATTTTTTTTTTCTTTTTTTTTTTAAGCTGTCATTCTACCTAACTGGGAAAGATGAGGGCTTTAACATTTATATTTGAGTCCAATAATTCTGTTCATCGCTTACTTATTAAAGCTAAATTATTTAAGACCAAAAATATTTGACACAAAAATAAAATTATTAATTATTTCTTATTCTCAAATATTTCTCATTTTACAAAGACAAATTTAGAATAAGAACTTTGTGGCAATGTTTTAATAACCAACTCAAAGTGAAACCCGGTAAAGTGGTCGGGACCCAAGTTGACTAGTTGAATCGATTTGACCGGTGAGTCAGACCGGTAATGTCAACATGTTCAGAGGTTTGAAATCCAGCAAACACACCTTTGAGAAATTATCATTATTTCCTACAAGTTTAAAATCTAGTAAACAATCCTCTTTGATTTGGTAAAATGCAAATTGGCAGTCTGCTGATTGTCGATGATGACGCACCAAATGCAAATCTCACTTATTCTTTGAGCCATTCCCTAACAAATTTGATCAAGATCTAGCCGAAATTGAACCATTTTTTGCAAAAAAAAAAAAAAAAAAAAAAACACCATTGACGGCATTGACAACCCAGACCAAATAGGCATGTTTTTTGCATCAACAACATTCTCCATCATCACAAAAACACTCCCTCTAGCCTTATGAAGAAAACCCATCTCACCCCCCTGCTTGCCCCGCTAATCGTCAACAACAACTTGTGAAGGCCTTAGGTCTCAGTTAGACCAATTAAATTGGTCGGGTTTTAAAAACAATAATACTAATCTCACTAATCCCTCTCACTAATCCCATGTGAGAGTTTGTGATTGGCTTGGTTAGGCGGGACTCATTATTAGATAGGCGTGATCCATGTGAACTGACGAATTGTGAACTGACTGAACTGACATGTGGCATTAGTAAAAGAAAGTTAGTAAGAAGTGTTAGTGAGTGTAGTGTTACTCTTTTAAAAAAGTGCTTTGTGGAAATCAGCTAGGTTTCGACGACTGCTTCATTTTAGTTACTGATTTACCGAGGCTGAGTACCTAACTCAGTTACTAACATTGACTTTAGAAAACTAACAGCTCTATAACGGAACTTAAGAGGCTAAAGCTTGACTGACTAACAGAGACTAACGACAGTTAACACTTGACAAACTTTTACAAGTTTAACTATTTAATCAACACAGTTACTTCTGTTAAACCTTAACATATGATATGTTTTCCATTACCTGAAATACTGGTTACATTTTCTAAAATTTCCAAATTTATTTCAAATCAAGTGTTAATATAGGTTGACGTTTAAAAAGGAAATTAATGTTTGTCGTATGATTTTTAATTATTAAAGAAATTATATTATGGTTTTGAAGTAATTTCATGAAAGGGTAGAATTATAATAGGGTTAATTTCACCCGTTGGATCTCCCTTTTTCATCAACGCTCAGGATTGATTCTGTCAGTTGGAGCAAAGCGACGTCGTTCCCCTTAAGTGTCAATACGGTAGCGTTTCAAGCAATCATCCACACTTTCCATTATCATCAACTACTTTAGATTTCTTTACAGCAACACGATTCTTCCATTTGCCAACATTCCTTTGTAAGGTACCTTGACCTCCCTCACTCTTGCAGCATAATGAAGCGAAGAAATCATGCAGCATGCTAGAGCTGAAGCATCACAGAATGAAACTGTAAAATGAACTGTAAATTAGTTTGTTATCAAGTTAGTTAAACAGTTAGTTAACAGTTAGTTAGCAGTTTGTTAATTGTAATTATTTAATCTGTTCAGTCTGTTAAAGTATTTAGAAGTTAGTTTAAGTAGTTAGAAGTTAGTTTGTCCAGCTCAGCTAAATAAGAGTTGGTTATCAAACCATTTGTATATAAGGAACTAACTACTGTAACTAAAATTCAATTCTGTAAATTCTGGATTCTTAATGAAGAAGTATTTTCTCAGAATCATTCAGAATTAGTTTTGTCACTCACCGATCTTTCGATCCACATTAAAATGGTCATGTAGCCTTGTCTAAATCCTTTGAGTTGAATAGTTTGCTTCTATCAACACTTCCACTGATGAGTTAATTGTCTTTCTAAAAGTAGACCACCATTCTGTTTGAAGTACTTCTCTTTAAGCTTCTTCTCCTTTCTTCTTTATTATGAGACAAACAACCATGCCCCACAAGTAGAAAAAACTTCCAAACCTGGTGCCTAAACTGCATATTTAAATGATTCTCCTTCATTAACTCAATAAACTTTTGCACCAAACTTCCACCTTTTGATGATATTGGTTTCTGTTCAGTTAAAAGCTCAATAAGTACTACCCCAAAACTATAGACATCACTTTTATTAGTGAATTGCCTTGACTGAAAATACTCTGGGTCCATGTAACCGATTGTCCCTTTAACTACTTTTGTGGTTGCATGAGTTTGGTCAATCTCAATGCATTTTGAAATCCCAAAATCAGCGACTTTTGCTCGGTACTTATTATCCAAGAGTATATTTGCAGACTTGATGTCTCGATGGTAGATAGCCATGGAAGCTGCTGAGTGCAAGTAAGAAAGAGCATCTGCAACTTCTGTGGCAATTCTTAAGCGCATGTCGCATGTGAGCGACAGAAGCTCTTCTTTCGGATCATGAAGATAATCGAAAAGGGTTCCGTTTGGGATGAATTCGTAAACTAATAAAGGAACCTCTGTCTCCAAACAGTACCCTAATAGCTCAACGATATTCCTGTGCTTTATTTCTGAGAGAATGATAACCTCGTTAACAAATTCTTGAAGCTTTCTGTTATAACTACTCAAAGAAAGAATCAACCAACAAAAGCAACAAATCAAGATCAAGATCAAGAATCAAACACAAGACCAACAGATTTACCGTGGTTCACTTGCTCTAAGATTGAGCAAGCTACGTCCACGTTGAACTCGAGAATCACACGAGCTCGCTGCACTAAAACTGTCAAGTTTACAGATTACACAATAAGCAACACAAGTCACTCAAAACCCCTTCTTCAACCCGTAACCAAACCCTAGAGATTACACCCTTCGAATCCCTAAGAACAGTGTATACTATACACCCAGAAATGACCTAACCAGTCACTCAACACTCAAGTTACAGGAAACACTCAACCCAAACTGTAGAAACCCTAAAGGCTTAACAATGGTGTTTTACCGAAGAAGAGAGAGTATTCGAAAACGAAAGACTAATCGCTCTCATAAACTGCCAAAATAATTCTGCTTTTATATGGGAACATTANAAGCTGCTTATGATTCAATTCTGGCAACTTATAAGGTCATAAGATTGGAAGGTTCCTTTGTAATACCTATTCCCAAACTTTGAAACTTTTCACATATGTTTTCTCTACAAGTTCATATTTAATAAAAAAGATATTGGTATATATTTTCTCCATAAAAATCTTTGACTATTATAAATTATAACTATACCAAAATTATTTGCAAAGAAATTAATTCTTAACCCTTAAGTTATTTTCACTACTATAAAATGAGATCTCAAAATATTTCACTACCATAAAATGAACACTAATGCATAAATTCTACGTCGTGCTAATATATATTGTGCAGTCAATTGTCGAGTCTTCCTATATGCACGTCTTTTTTTTATTTTTATACAAGTAGACAAAATATCTAAGCCCAAATTCATAGAACTCTTTGAAGTGACAAAAGCAAATGAATGGCCATCAATTATTTTTGTACGTGTCTTTACCTAGAATGATTGTTAGGATGAGATAAGAGGGTTTAGTCTTACAAACCCTCTCATTCTCTACATCCACACGCCACCTCTACTGTCCATTCCTCTCATCTCTTCATCAATTTTCCAAGGAAGATTCAAGGGCTTTTGGATAGAGTTTGGTAGAGATCTAATCCTAAGCATCAAAAGGTAAGGATTCTTGCTATAGATATAAGTTTATTTTGTAAAAGTGTTGAATTCTTATAGTGGTTATGCTTAGGGCTTTAGAGAAAGAACAAGTCTAACAAAGAAGAGGAATTCTAGTGGAATTACTCAAGCACAAAAGTAGTCGCTTATTAAATTTTGTACCAAGGTCGCTATTATTTGGCCTCCGCATATACTCTACTTCCAAGTTGATAATAAGCAACATTGTTTAATAGCAAATTATATATACACATATACTCAATTTTTAATATAGGTTTCTTGATGTTTTTAAGATGGTAGATGAAGATCAATAACTAATTGTTAGTTTCTCAAAATGTCAAATCAGAATCAACGATCAATACATAGAACCACCATTAGGTCATCTGATGGTAAAAAAATAATTGGGTCCAACATGAGTTCTTAAGTTTAAGTCTTCTTAGACAGTAATAAGGGTGGTCACTAACGAGATTTATTTAATTATTCACTTCAGGGTCCTACGAAATTAATTAAGATACGCACAAACTAACCCAACATCCCCAATCACCCAAAAAAAAAAAAAAAGAAATCAATCTATAGTACATTAACATTTGATTCTGTTGAAGAGCCCAATATGGTGTTACATGGTTCTTAGAATGGCTAAGTGAGGTGCTGTCGATGAATCTTGAGCATTTATCTCCATCTAATCCAACGGCTGCTTTATCTCCATCTGGTCAATGGTATATAAAGCAGCCCAAACCATCCGTTTTTCGGGTGAATGTGAGTTCTCTGTTAGGTTTTCATTTCAGTCCAAAAATCAGTGTAACTTCAGTTAGTGAGTTATTAGTTCTTAGTCATTATGTGATGCTTGTTTGTTCTCTCAAGGATTAGAGATTCCAGGAAGAGTTTCTCTAGATTAGGAGTTATAGAGTGAGATTGGTTGAGTGAGTGAGAGGTCGGTTGATCTGTGTTCTTGTAAATTGTAAGTTCTTATTAATTAGTGTAGTGAGCCCCAAATATTTTGGAACTCAACGTGGATGTAGTCTATCCAATCTTGGATAGGTGAACCACGGTAAAATCTTGTGTTCTTCTTGATTGTGTGTGTAGATCTATGGAATTGTGTGGTTGTTGTGGTTTGTTAATTAGTTTAATAATTAGGTTTTTAGTATAACAGATTCTAATGTTAAAAATCTTAAAGTATCCACATCCTATAATTTTCTTGCATATATATGCATACACTATCAAAGTTTGATGGGTAAATTCATCGTTTAGAAATGGAGATGGTGAATTGTCATGAAATAATAGCATATGCTCTGTATATACTAATTTTTTGGATACATTTTATTTGATATATTAAAGATTAATCAGTCAGTGCCTCTTCAACTTTAAGAAAATTCAATCTTTTAGAGAAAAGTGACTTAATTAGCATTGAAGACTTAGAAGTCTTTGTCGGATTGACCATAGCTGCATGGAAATTAAGTTGGGAACTACTGGGGTGTTTGGTTTGGTGGAATAAACCCATTCCCTTATCTGGATTCAAACGATAAACCCCAGAGAAGACTGATCTCTATAACTTTCTTTGAAAAGCATGTCCCCACAAGTCCGAGAAGACTATTCCAATAGAGATGATATCTTAGATTGAGAGAGAGGAAAAGAAGATTGATATTTGCAAGTTGAACAGGCAAATGAAATATTGTGCACAAAAGACTTAAAAGAGTGAGGTTCGGAAACAACGTGGACTTAAAAAGGGTGAGGTTTAGAAATAAGATGGACTTAAAAGAGTGAGGTTTAGAAACAACATGGACTGATCATATATATAAAGTGAAACATCCCACATCGTCGGGGAAGAAGGGGTGGGTTTGAGCTGATTATATATCAAGAATCCTTCAAATGTCATGGTGCACTTTGGGCTTAAGTAAAGGTTTTTTAGCCTAAAAACAAAACTGTGAGGGGTTGATCTTCAGAGTCGGGCCACCCAGGCTACCAAAGTGAACAATATTTTGAGAGTGTTGGGCCGAGGTGTTACATAAAGGGTGTCCAAGCCTATGGCATAACAAGATATCTTTATTAGAAATATTGGTACACTTATTTGTGAACTGCAACAAGAAGAACCTTTTGGAGACTAAAAAAAGGGTACACCAATCTCCCGGAACCCTAAAACTATTGACCGGGTAAGAGCTCTAATGCCTACTCTTATTAGCAACACTGGGAACTCGAATTCGAGAAACCATGTTAGATCCTCTTCTTGCTCTTTACCTTTAAGGGGACACGAACTTAAAAGACAATGTTAGATCCTCCTTTGCTCATATATATATAACCATGATAGAATTTGATGTGGGCCTGACTCCTTGCCCAATAAGGCTTTGTTGAATTAGAGGATTACCCGCTCTTATAAACCAGTATGTTTAATCATGCCTAGTTGATATGGGACTCCAACACTCCCCCTCACGGTCAATCTCATATGTTGGGTCATGCATGTTGATGGAGGTAATTGCTAGCTCTAACTTCTCACCCGCTGGTCAAACACTTAGCTCAATTAGGCCTAGCTTTGATACCATGATAGAATTTGAGGTGGGTCTGACTCCTCACCCAATAACGTGTTATTGAATGGGAGGATTATCCCCTCTTATAAACCAGTAGGCTTGAGCATGTCAAGGCGGTGTGAGACTCCAACACTCTCCCTCACAGTCAAGCTCATATGTTGGGTCATGTTAAGGAAATGTTGGCTTTGGCAATTATAAAACCAAGCATTAGCCCGTTCTCTAGCCCTGTTTTATTGGTGAAAAAGAAGGATGGAGGGTGGCAATTTTGTGTAGATTATCAGGCAGTTAACAAGGTGACAATCCCGGATAAATTTCCAATTCCCGCTATCAGTGAATTGTTTGATGAGTTCGAAAGGGCAATAGTATTTTCGAAACTCGATTTGAAATTCGGATATCATCAAATCAGAGTGAAACCAGAAGACACACAAGACTGCTTTTCGGACACACGAAGGGCACTAATTTCTTGTAATGCCTTTTGGCCTTACCAACGCACTGGCAACTTTCCAAACAGTCATAAATGATGTATTCATGCTGTATTTGAGAAAATTTTTGTTGGTTTTCTTCAACAATATACTGATTTATAGGAGGGAGATGGACGAACATGCGAAGCATTTAAGCATTATTTTGCAAGTATTATTGGAGAATCAGTTGGTGTAAATCAGAAGAAGTGTCAATTCGGGCAACTCCAGTTAGAATATCTGGGACATGTAGTGTCAGCTAAGGGTGTGGCAGTTGATCCCTCCAAAATAGACAGCATCACTAAATGGCCAGAACCAAGGGACATTAGGGCACTCTGAGGATTTCTTGGGCTGACAGGCTACTACCGTCGTTTTGTTCACAATTATGGTAAGATATCTCTTCCATTCACTGCCCTATTAAAAAAGGACTCTTTTGTATGGAATATAGCAACTCAACAGACCTTCGAAGAGTTAAAAAGAATCATGACCAGTGTCCTTGTCCTACGGATGCCAAATTTCACTCAAGAATTTATTATAGAAACCGATGCTTAGGGAAGCAGGTTAGGGCTGTGTTAATGCAAGAGAGGTGACCTATTGCATTTCTCAACAAAGGTTTGTCTATCAATTCCAAACTGAAATCAGTATATGAGCGGGAATTAATGGTTATAGTTTTGGCTGTGCAAAAATGGCGACATTACCTCTTGGGAAGACGTTTTGTTATCCAGACAGATC